CCAAAGCTATGGCTACTGTACTCAAACCCTGGCAGAAGTCCCACCCAGACGTGGTCCTGCTCCAGTACGTTGATGATTTACTTTTCTGTGGTCTTCTTGAGACATTGCCTTTCCCATGGCACCCGTCACCTAACAAGAAACAGAGTTCATGCCATTACAAACCTTTCCCTTCCATCTAATCATCAGGCCCTTCATGCCTTCTTGGGCCTCATCACATATTGCAGATCTTGGATTCCTGAGGCATCTCAACTCATGCAACCTCTCTATGATGCCTTAAAGACTGAACCCTTCACTTTGTCCTCTACAGGCCGTAGCTGTTACTATGCTCTTCAAAGAGCAATTTCTTCCGTCCCTGCTTTGGGCCTACCCAACTACCAACTACCAATTCAAACTTTTCGTCTCCGAGAAGATGGGTCATGCTTCCGGGGTCCTTATTCAATCCGACGGTTCCCGACAGCGCCCTATTGGGTACTTCTCATGCATGCTTGACCCCGTAGCCAGGGGTGGTCCTTCCTGTTTGCGTGCTGTCTTCGCTGTAAGTGCCCTACTGGACAAAACAAATGACTTCGTTCTCGGACATAAACTGACGGTTCTGGCCCCCCATGACATCGCTGCCATTCTGAATCAAGTCCAACCGATGCATCTTTCTTGCCAAAGACATCTTCGCCTTCAAGCCTCCCTCCTTTTGCCGGATAATGTTTCTTTACAAAGATGTTACTCCTTGAATCCGGCCACTCTTCTGCCACTTCCTAAGGGGGGAGTACCACAATACTGGTACAGCCTGGACATAAATCCCGATGTACACATGGAACTTCCAGTAGAAAAACCCACGGTTCCACATGATGAACAGCTCGAGACCCAACTACATTGCACCCTGTGGTTTCGGGACACCCGAGGTCCTGACCCATACTATGAAGAAGAACTATTCAGCCTGGTGGAAATACAGATCACACTGACAGACCTGTTCTGTGACTCTAAAGGAAATATTGTCATCTTAGTCTATCTACCTATGGAGGTATCACATTTGTATCACCATTGGGAGGTGGCTGTTCCTCATGTCTCTTTCACAAAGTCTCAAGATCTTTCATGGAAAGAACTCGGCCCAATGGCTAAGACATGGAGTACTGCAACTCAACAACAACTCACAGTGACGGGGGTCACTAAAAAGACCAGAAATTACAGAACTGTCGGTTACCTGCGATATCATACAGAGATATGTAAAGATATGCCTCCCACAGAACCAGACCCAGATGCTCCACATGATTGCTTTGAACAGATGAAGATGGAAGCTACCCATCTTCCATCAGTGCATGAGGCTGCTCTACCAGACCCTGATTACACTCTGTTTGTGGATGGTTCTAGATTCGCAGATGAGCAGGGCCAATATCATACTGGATATGCAGTCACCACTACTCCCAGAAGAGGTGGCTATACTGAAGGTAAAAGCCCACTGGAAACTAAACTCAGGAGAAGCACATGGCAACCATTTAGCTGACCAGGCCGCTAAGGATGCGCCGCGCCAATGTCGGGAAGTGGACAGAAGAGTGCCCGTCGAAAAGACCCCTATTTACACTATGCAAACCTTACCCACTGATCTCAAGCTCCTAAGAGAACAACAGGCCACTGCCACTCCACAGGAAAAACAAAGCTGGAAAGACGAAGGGGCAACCAATCAATCTCAAATGCTGTCCACCCAAGAATATGTATCCAGCTGTCGTTCAGTGGGCCCATGGACCAGATCATTTGTCAAAACACCTCATGAATTCCTTGATTGACAAATATTTTGAAGCACCTGGGATCACCACCTTGACACGATTACTGCAGATCCTGCACCATCTGCGCCAAATGCAACTCAGGGAAAATAATTAAGACTGCACCAAACCATTTGGCCAGACCACAGTACCCTTTCCAAAGGATCCAAATTGATCATATCCAAATGCCAAAGAGAGGCCGGTATGAATATGCACTGGTCATAGTGGTATGTTTTCAGGATGGCCAGAAGCCTTTCCAGTCGCTAATCTCACTGCAAAGACTACAGCAAAGCACCTACTTACCGAAATCATCTACAGATACGGGGTTCCCGAAGTAATCAAAAGTGATCAAGGTACATCATTCACTGCATTGTTAACCAAAGAGATCTGGGCAGCACTGGGGATGACCCTTGCATTCCACACACCCTATCACCCACAGAGTAGTGGTAAGGTAGAACGCATGAATGGAACACTGAAAGCCAGAATGCTTAAAATGTCACAAGAAACTAACCTACCCTGGCCGGAGAGTCTTCCCATAGCACTGTTTAGTGTAAGGTACACCCCAAGAGGGAGGTTTAACTTATCCCCCTACGAAATCAGGTTAGGCTGTTACTTTCCGCAACAACTTCAACTCCAGTCAGATGCAATGGTAGATTATATAACTTCACTCTCTCATGCCCTGACCAAAATCCATGCACAGGTGTTTTCTTCTATTCCAGATCCAGGGTCAAATACAGGCACGCACAAGTTACTACCTGGTGACTGGGTCATGGTCAAGAAGTTTCAAAGAAAACACACTCTTGAGCCAAGGTTTGATGGTCCATTCCAAGTCCTATTGACTACATCTACCTCTGTAAAGTTGGCTGGGAAGATTACTGGATACACGCTTCACACTGCAAGAAAGTTCCTGATCCAGAAGAAGCGGATCCCACCAGAGCCTTCTATACCTATGTCTGCTGCTAGGCCTCTTAAAGGCCCAACAAGTTGCTATTACTAAAGACAATCATGTTTACACATTTTGGTATAATTCTTCAAACACACACGTGGCTACGTTTACTTTTGATTACTGTGAAATTGTCTCTTGAACTTTCCCACAATCACAACACTAAGCGATATACAAAGACACACCAAATAAAAAGGACCCATATATCTGTGTGACAGGTGACCGTTGGGGACATCACTGTAGTTCATGGAAAGCGGCGGGTTGGAATATGGGCTGACCATGGGGCTACAGACCACAAAGTGCCTTGGACCGAGTTGACAGATATGGGAAACCCTTGTTATACAGAATGACCTTGTGTAAGCCAACAGGGTCTACCCCAATAAAGCTTACCTTAAACATAGAACACCCCAGCCCAGGAGACGCTGGGGAATACGTAATTGGAATGTATTGGAAAGGGGGTGGCTCACATAACAAGTTGGGGACCTTCTATTTACAAGACATGCTTACATCACCTGACTGGGTAGGTTCCACACACATGACCATTAATCCCCTAAAACCACACATCAAAACCCTTAAAGACATGGTGGCTATTGCCAATCCTACATTTGAAGACACTATGGCTGTGGAGACTGGTTTTTCAGATACCAATCTATGGCTTGAATGGATGAGGTATAATGCTAATTCTCACAACAAAACTAACTGTTATGTTTGTGGTGGGGCCAGGCCTCACCTGGGTACAGTGCCTTTAAATTTAACCCCCGATATCGAGAGATGTTTCTTAAGCCTCTATGCGCAGAACTCATCAGTGTGTGATTCATGGAAAAAGGTTTACCCATTAACCCAAGGGAGCACCAGACCACCTGATGGAGTCACCGTATACCCAGGTAATTACACTTGCTATACAATACATGGAGCACAGGTAAATTTGTAGGCAACTGTGCCATTTATCGGAAAACCTCCCACTGTCTTATTAGTAAATCAAGTTAAATCTGTGAGAGATATTTATTGGCTATGTGGTGACATGCAACTTCAATCAAAGATGACTGGCCTGTGGTGGGGAGAGTGTGCCCTGACTAAAGTTATCATGCCCATACACATATTTCCTGATAACCACCAGGGCCCATATGATTCACCACACACGTATCTTAGAGTAAAAAGAGAAACCCCCATTCGAGGTAGTTTTGACTCACATGTATACATCGATGCCATTGGAGTACCAAGGGGGGTACCAAATGAGTTCAAAGCCAGAGATGAGGTGGCGGAAGGATTCGAATCCTTGGTCCCACTCATCACTGCCAATAAGAATGTTAACTGGATCAATTATATTTACTATAACCAACAACGATTTGTCAATTATACCAGAGATGCCCTACAGGGCTTAGCAGAACAATTACAGACTACCTCCCAGATGACATTCCAGAATCGAATAGCCTTAGACATGATCCTAGCAGAAAAGTAGGGCGTGTGTAAAATACTCCCCGATACTATAACATGCTGTACTTTCATCCCGGACAATACAGGTCCTAATGGCAAGGTAACCATGGCCATAGAGAAATTAGATAATCTTTCAGACGAATTAAAAAGAAATTCGGGAGTCCCCAACTCACGGGACAGATGGTTTGGGTCGAAGAGTGGATGGCAAAGAACTCTCTTTCAAATAGGTATGGCGGTTCTTACTGTGGTAATTCTCTTTCTCTTTCTGACTTGTTGTGTAATACCTTGTGTACAGAAATATCTACAGAAGACTGTAGGTCAGACCATTGACTGCACTACACCTACATTCCTACATCAGGATGCTGACGACATGGACTGTGACACCCCTCACACACCTCTTCAGTCCCACCACCTCAAACAAACAACTACTTCCATGTAGGGACAGCATAGGGATAGCGTCTGTCTCTACGGGCAGAAGTCTGACGCAGGAGATGTAGTGGGTTAGCTGCTGCAGGATACCTGCGCAGTGAAATGTTCGAGGCTTGTTAAGACAGATGAGCTGCGGCCAATTAGGGATTGTGACGGAACGCTGGCACTCCGACTGAGTACCTCCACCAATCGATGCTCCTAGTGCTCGCTGAGGACTCCAAGCACTCCAACTGACACCATCAGCACTGCAGACCCCACTTCCAGCGATGCAACTGCGCCGGGGTCTCTGCTGTCTCCACCCACCCTGGACCCAAGGCCAGGATCCAGCTTCCAGTGGGTGAACCTCTCTTTCCCCAGAGAGCAGGAACAGGAACAAGCTCTTAGCAGAGCTTATTGATCATACCCTGGTGAGTATAGTTAGTTGAGTTTCTACAATACACTAAGCTCAATTATCTGCTGGCCAGAAATAATACAGTTTTAACAGCATATTCATAACTTCTAAAATATACATTACATTCACATAAAAAATATATATTTACAATCAATCAATTCAGGGAAACAACATATCAAAAAATGGCATGAATCAGACCAGGGGTTCAGAAGTTAGCAAAGTATCTTTTGGGGCCTGGCTGGCAGCATGGCTATCTGGCCCAAACTGGTTTTACAGAGCCCTCTAGCCTGGAGACAATGGGGAAAGTAATCCAATTATCCAGGGATAGAAGCAGACTCCATTGAGCACATGTTCCCAGTAAAACACAAAAGGATACAAAAATACATAACTCCTATCATACTGAATTGAACGGGCCAAATCTCCCAGGGTCCATAGTCACAGGGCAAGAGGCGGGCAAGCAGTCCTCTCCAGGCACAAGTGGCGAAGGGCACTTCGTCACACATCTTCCCTTTGGGGGGAAGACTAAACAGGTACCTGACCTTCTGCCGGTCAGTACCTAGATTAGTCGGGCAGCCCACCCACAAAGAAAAATACGCAGAGTAACCCCCCCACAATAAATGGTACTGGCCTGTAGGTTCAAGTTTGTAGTGGGACAGCGCAGCACTCTCGGTCTCCCTGGTGCAGCTAGGCAAACTGCTGGTGTTGCTTGGGGGCAGAGGCCAGCGGCGCTCTGCCCTGCTGCCAGCTCTTCCACTGGGGTAACCCGTGGTAAGTCAGGCTCTGATACAGGGGAAAAGGGGGGGCAGAGGCTAACAGAGCTCTGCCCAGATGCCAGCTCTTCTGCTGGGAGGGGGTCAGTGGGTATCGCAGGCTCATCCACTGCCCCCAGGACCCGGTTGGAATGTAGCTGAGGAGGGGAAGTTTTGCTTACCTCCTCCTCCTGGCATCCCTGCGGGGTTGGTTGGGGATCTGGACCGCCCGTCCAGCCTCCCTGTAGGACTGGCACAGAGACCGCGGTCCCATCTGCGCTAGTGTGGTTAGGTTTTTCTTCCCCCTCTCCTGGTATCTCTGGCTGCTGATGGAGGGGGAGGCTGGTTGCACCCACTCCCCAGGACGCTGGTTGCTGTAAGGTAGAGGGATCGACCATCACCTCCTCCTGGAACTCAGGCCACCGCTGGGGAGAGAGACCAGTTGTCTCCTCTCCCTGTATATTATACTGCCGCTGGGGACCTGGGCTGACTGCCCAGCATCGCTGTAGGGCTGGCAGAGAGACTTCGGTCCCATCTCCGCTTGCCATCTCTGTGTGTCCCCAGGACACGTCTATGAGGTCCACTACCTCAGGTACCTCTGGTTGGTGGAGGAGAGGGAGGCCGGTTGCCTCCCCTCCCCAGGACGCTGGTTGCTGTATGGGGGAGGGATCTAGCATCACCTCCTCCTGGAACTCAGGCTGCTGCTCCTCTTCCTGTGAGATACACTGCCGCTGGGGATCTGGGCCGGGTACCCAGCATCCCTGTGGGGCAGGTGGAGAGACCTCGGTTCCATCTCCACCTGCCATCTGTGGGTCTTCCCAGGACCGTTCCATAAGGTTGCTCACCTCTGGGGCTGGTTGGACAAAAGAGGGTAGGGTGTCCAGGTAATCCTCTGGGCCGAGGGACGGTGATTGGGCTAAGTTGAACAGGCGTCAGTAGCTCTGCTCCAGCCTCCACTCCATTGCGACCAGATGACTCAGGTCTGGCCCCAGGTCGTCCGCTCGGGGAAGATCCAGCAGGGTTTCCCTGATGTTGTGGATGTCCCAGAACCGAAACTCTGTGGGGCATCCAAAATCATCGCCCTCCTCATAGGCCTCCCACAGTAAGCCCGGGCCATTATAATCCTCTCCCTCGGGCAGATAGTGGTTAGTCATCGAGGGGTTGCGCTGGGTGGCGTACCACTTTAATGCCCGGTAAGCTGCATCTAGCCACAACTCCTTGCAAATTAAATCCCAGAGTTCCAACAACCATTCATCCAAGGGTTGCTCCCCTAGGAAAGGGGAGCGCAGGGCCTCGAGTACCTGGAACCGCTGCTCGTCACTGGGAAGGCTCTCTCCCCGCCGCCGTTGTACCTTTTCCAGGGCATCATGCCACATCTCCGTACGAGTGACATCTCTCCAGTCCAGTATGCACTCCTCTGATACAGGCCCGTCCTGTTGGGCCAAGTGCTGCTGCAACCTCCAGCGAAACTCCTCTTCCATGTTGCTATGGATAGGGACGCTGCCCGTAGCTAGCTCTATCCCTTGAGTTCCTCTGAAGCCAGGGTTGCTGCACAAGTGCTAGCGTTGCCCTCAATTATAAATCCATAACTCCACACGTACCGGTGTCTCCGAGCTGCTGGTCCTCGCACTAGGACGCCATCCCGCCGCTGCCACCAAATGTGACGGAACGCTGGCACTCCGACTGAGTACCTCCGCCAATCGATGCTCCTAGTGCTCGCTGAGGACTCCAAGCACTCCAACTGACACCATCAGCACTGCAGACCCCACTTCCAGCGATGCAACTGCGCCGGGGTCTCTGCTGTCTCCACCCACCCTGGACCCAAGGCCAGGATCCAGCTTCCAGTGGGTGAACCTCTCTTTCCCCAGAGAGCAGGAACAGGAACAAGCTCTTAGCAGAACTTAGTGATCATACCCTGGGGGGGATTATAGCAATGCCCAGAGTGTATTTCTCCAATCCCCCAAACATGAGCCAAGGCTTAATGCTGGAACAAGACTGATTTACTGGCACACAGAACTCACAATTTATGCAACACAAAACTCCTCCTCTGGGCCAGGCTAGATAATTGAGTTTCTACAATACACAAAGCTCAATTATCTGCTGGCCAGAAATAATACAGTTTTAACAGCATATTCATAACTTCTAAAATATACATTACATTCACATAAAAATATATATATTTACAATCAATCCATTCAGGGAAACAACATATCAAAAAATGGCATGAATCAGACCAGGGGTTCAGAAGTTAGCAAAGTATCTTTTGGGGCCTGGCTGGCAGCATGGCTATCTGGCCCAAACTGGTTTTACAGAGCCCTCTAGCCTGGAGACAATGGGGAAAGTAATCCAATTATCCAGGGATAGAAGCAGACTCCATTGAGCACATGTTCCCAGTAAAACACAAAAGGATACAAAAATACATAACTCCTATCCCTCTGAATTGAACGGGCCAAATCTCCCAGGGTCCATAGTCACAGGGCAAGAGGCAGGCAAGCAGTCCTCTCCAGGCACAAGTGGCGAAGGGCAATTCGTCACAGGGATGTCATTAGGGTTAGATAATAGTTGGCTGTCCTTTCCTCCTTCTTTTTGTAAATAGTCATTTTAAGGGGGGACTGTTGTGGACAAAAATATTAACCCAATTTATATTAGTAAAATGCCTATTTACTCAACATAACTACAATCAGCATTATTCAACTTTCTATGGGATTTACCTAAAATGGCCGCTAGGGAGTTTCCCCTTTAACATCGACTAACACCCTCATTAACAAGATGGCGCTGGAATCTGGGGGAGACCTCCAAGAGACCAGTGACATCACACCCGGTAGGCAGAGCACTAAATGAGCCACTTAACACCTAACCAATTATTGATGTATTATTCCATGTTATCTCTGACAACGCTTATGATGTAATGTTGCTTTATAAGGGACATGTCATCCCCCCTGAATAAACATTCCTCAAGTTTTTCATTAACCCGAAACTTGTGTCTGGTGTGAATTACTTCAGGAGCGTGCAGTACTATTTCTTTAATTTGGTCGGGGGCAGGTACGCAAGATAATCAATTTATTGATTGATTTCCACCTTATAGTTATGATAGCCTTATACCTATCCTGCACATGCTTAAACTACTTCACTGTGTTAACCTCTTCCACTCCAGCTGGAAGGCTATTCCATACATCCACTTCCCTCTCAGTAAAGTAAAACTTCATGATATTATTTTTAAACCCTTGCCCCTCCAATTTAAGACTATATCCTCTTGTTGTGGCAGTTTTTTTTATATTTTAAATATAGTCTCCTCCTTTACTGTGTTTATTCTCTTTATGTATTTAAATGTTTCTATTATATCCCCCCTGTCTCGTCTTTCCTCCAACCTATGCACGTTAAAATCCTTTAACTTTTCCTTGTAAGTTTTATCCTGTAATCCATGAACCAGTTTAGTAGCCCTTCTCTGAACTACAGTTAACCCAGGCACTGCTTGAAGTACAGCACAAACTGGTGTCTCTTAAAGGGAAAGTACACTGTGTCCAGGATCCTGAACTGGCTGAACCAGCAGTTGCCCTACCTGACAAGTTCTCGGGAATCCATTTGAAGTATAATGTCTTCAAGCTGGATTGCGAGATTCTCTTCTCCCTGAAGCCACACACATTTGCCAAGAACTTCATTAATGTGACCACAGCTATCACTCTTTTGTCAGGGCAACTTAAGGCCCACCAGCTGCTGATTTTGAAAAGTGCAGTTCTGGATTCCTGGGATTCCTTTATACGCTCAATGGAGTCTCTATCTATTAAGTCCCAGAACTCCTTCTGTTTATCTGCATAAACTGAAACCCGGTCTGGATATGGACTATAACACCTTTTAAAGTCCCCTGTAACTCTTGAGTCACACAAACCCTATGTTACCTGAACTTCTTCTGTTTACCTGTATAAACTGCAACCCGAGCCAGATATAGACTATAACACCCTTTCCAAGTCCGATGTAACTCTTGAGACGTCACATTCGCCTACTTTGGAAGCCAAAGAACCCATGGAAATTAGACTAACCTTATTCAGACAATCACCCGAAGAAAAAGAAAGAAGGAGGGTCCATAGACTGTGTTTTTACTGTGGGGAAAGGGGACACTTCATCTCTTGTTGTCCTATTCGCCCACCTAAGACTCCAGCTCTCCGACTGGATACTACTTTTATTCACCCTATTAGCTCTGCATGTCAACCTGTTAACCATCCGACCTGTCCATGCTTGGTCTCCCTGACAAGTCCTCACTCATCTACAGCTGTTACTCCTGAGGTCCTTCATAAACCTATCACCGAGAATTCACCTACAGCTGTTACTCCTGAGGTCGTCCAGGAACCTGTCACTGAGAACTCACCTACGGCTGTTTCTCCTAAGGTCCTTCAGGAACCTATCACTGAGAAACCTGTGAGATCTGTTCTTACAGCCTGCTCTACATACCTGGAAGCACTGTGTCTGGACAGCCCCAGTGCACTGTCTCACAATCTTGGAGATTTCTACCTTGAGTCTCCTCAGTTTGTGTTAAATTGCAAAGGGTGCCTTAACTCTGCACTATGGACTCCACCCCAAGGTAAGATCCTGACAGAATCATCAGCAAAAATACATACCTTATCATCAAGACCTTCTGCAATATCACTAATAAAAATATTAAAGAGAATGGGTCCAAGTACAGATCCCTGAGGTACCCCACTGGTGACAAGACCATGTTTCGTATATACTCCATTGACTACAACCCT